CCCGCCGTAAAAACATGGCGGGGGGGCGGGGTCAAAGTGGGAGAGCGTGTTTGTTGATGAGCTCCGACAACTTCCAGTGATCCTCCACGGCGGCGGCGGCGTTTGATGGACATCTGAGCACCACTTGTGAAAGCGTGGGGGGGGGGGGGGTGAGGAGGGGGGAGGGGGGGGAGGCCCGGGGGTGTCAGCGGAGCGGGGAGTGATGGAGTGTGCGCTAAAGCAGCGATTTGAAAAAAATAAACAAATCAGAAACAATTAAGTGTGAACTCTCATGGAATATTCATCGGCGAGGAGCAGCCATGGCGTGACAAGCCATCACGCCACCTCCAGCCCGTGTTTTTTTTCCTCTCCCTCCTCTCTCTCTCTCTCTCTCTCTCTCTCTCTCTCCCTCGCCGTGTCCTGCTCACATGGAGATGCGCCTGCCACTTAAATCAAATTAGTCATTAGCAAATTGAATCAACAATTAGAGCAAAAGAGCGACACGGCATTAGCGTCAGATTTGTCAGCCTATCAGAGCGGAGCAACCTTTCCAGGACTTTTTCCTGCGGTGGTCCAACTCCTCCACGCCACGTTCAAAGTCATCCTGTAGCTCAGGGCACGAGGCCCCTCCGTCCATTTCCTGCCAGGGTCACCTAACGTCACTGCGACCCGGGCTGGAGCTCGCCGCCGCCGTGTTGTTTTCTGTGCCAAGCGCTTGTTCTCCCTGATGGATCCGGTGGCGGCGGCGGCCCTGATCGTCCCTCTTCCCGCCTCTTGTGGATTATTCGTATCGACGTTTCTCACTCCTCTGCGAGCGCGGCTTTTAGTTAGAGGCTGTCAAAAACGGCGCCGGCGGAAATGGAAGTATCCTCATTATGCAAATGGCGTCCTCGGCTGATGGCGTGCTCCGTCCCTCTTGTCAGAAGTCAAATTGTGTTTGAGGAACTTCAGAGAAATTGTCACAAGATTTCAGTTTTCTCCTCCTGAGACGCCGACATCGTCCTGACGAACACGTGTCGTTTATTTATCGTTTACAGACGAAACTTTAAAAATTAAAAAAGAAAAAGAGAAAATTTTTAGAGACTTTCCTGAAAGAAAAAAAGAGACGGAGTTTAAACCTGAAGAGTTTAATCAGTTCAGGATTTAATCAGAAGTTTTATTTTTAATTAATGAATCTTTAAAACAGTTTACAGAAAAAACACGTTTGTTTATTTTTATTTTTATTTCAATTATTTTATTTTATTATTTTTATTTTGTTTTTGTTTTAATTATATTTTATTTATTTTATTTTGAATTTTGTTAATTTTCTTTGTTTGTTTGTTTGTTTGTTTGTTTGTTTGTTTACTAACAGTCTGACTTTAACTCCAAAAATGTCGTGGAGTTTTTTGCTGAGTCAGCACTTCCACAAACAGGAAATCAAATGTCGGCTTTATTGGCCGTCGGTGCGAGTCGATAGAAATCGGGTTCAAACTTGATGAAACTCACAGACTTGATTAAAGTTGATTTTAAAGTCTTCAGCTGCTTCACCGCCGACTCCAACGTGGCGAGCGCGACACTGTTGCCCCCCCTCCGCCATCTTTATTAAAACAGTGAAAAGTGGGAAATAAAAACATGAAGATCTCCGTCCAACAAAAATAAACCAGGCCTGGTTACCGTAGCAGCAGCAGCAGACCAGCCAACAAATGAAGAAAAAAACGAGGAAAAAGGCGAGAAAAAAAAACGTCGTTTTAATATTCATGAGTTTCCGACCAGCGCAGTTCAGCAGTTTCGATTAAGCATTAATTAGGAGCCAGAGGGGAAACCAAACAAAAATAAGGAGCTGAATGACTAATGAAGGTGCTGCAGATGTGGGCAGACTCGCCACCGCCGCCGCCGCCGTGCCACTAATGCTTCGCCGCTGCTGTTATGGGCGCTACATGGGCAGGAGTGCCAGCGGCGTGGGCGGCGAGACGCACCTCTGCCCACACCAGAGATCACACTCCGAGCGAGGAGAGGAGAAAAAAAGAAAAACACTCTCTGGCCGAGGAAGAATAACACGCTCGCCTCCAAACCAGCCAGAAAAACCGCTGCGAGAAAAAACCGCTGCTTCCTCCATCCGCCCGAAAACCTCCGCCTGATTTCAGGGGTTCAGGGGTTCAGGGGTCCGAGCGAGTCCGTCCTGAGAGAAATCCCCAAAACCGTCAGAGTCACCAGGAAAAAAACCCGTCTGAGGAGGTCAGGGTGGAGGAGGAGGAGATACGAGCGTTTTAACGCATATTTTAGCGCCGATTTTAGCGAGGAGTTTCCTGGAAGTGAGAAAGTTTGTGAAAGTCGAGGGTCACCATCGATCGCAGTCTGAGCGTTTCTTAAATTCGACTTTTTAAAGTCGGTCGCAGGACAAAAGGTCCGCTGTGAGGTTAGGCCGACGCAGAAATCTGAAATTATTCATGAAATCCTCGGAATAAATTTTAACTTCATGTTTGAAACTCGTAAAAAAAAAAAAGAACCTGTTTAAAAAAAACGTTTTAAACTCTTTAAACAAAAACAAGTTTCTGTGAAAGACTTTAACGTTGTTTTCAAACAGAGTTAGGAATGTTTGAACTCTCTTCAAAGTGTTTAAAAATGTTTAAAAATGTTTAAAAATGTTTAAAAAGCCTCAGAGCGAACATTTTAAACTCATCTGTACTAATTATAAACGAGTTAATTTTTCCTAACGAGAGTCGTAAGTTTTTTAAAGGAGTTTTATTTTGTTGAGGTGAATTAAAACCGTCGTCTTTCACTGATAAAACGTTAAAAATTGTTTTTGTTTCGCTAAAATACGTCAAACTAAGATCGTCATAAAACTTTAATTAACACTGTTTTAATTCATCCAAACAGGAAAAAAGAAAGTTGAAGTTAAAAAGTCATTTAATAACAAGAATCACTTTATTATTCATTTACACTTACTGTATATTTAACAACTAAACTTTAATTTAAACTGATGATAAAATAATCCTGAAAGTTTGATGATGGAAACAGAAAATAAATATAATAAATATAATAAATCTATATTTGTGTTTCAGAGAAAGACCTTAAAAAACCTTAAAAACATTTAAACAATCATTTGATTTAAACCGAAGATCCACCAGGTTAAAACATTTAAATCAATAATTTGATCTTTTTGCAAAAATGAATTGAATCTAAATATGAAATAAAGAATTTTAATGAGATTTTTTAATAAAAACCTGAAATTTCTCTGCAGCTGCAGTTCTGATGATTTTTTCTGCCTTTGGGTTTTTGTTGAATTTGTCAGATTTAATATCAGAGACAGACTCATTATTAAAAACACGAACCCGTTTATTTAAGTTTAAATTTTTCAGTTTAAAAGGAAAAAAAAGAGTTTTGAGTTTTTATTGTCAGAGCAGCAGAACGATTTAACGAGGATTCTTCAAATCATTTTAATTCTTCATCTCAGGAGGAACAAAAAGAAACCAGAAACGAGGAGGAGGAGGAGGAGGAGGAGGAGGAGGAGGAGGAGGAAGGAGGAGGAGGAAGAGGAGGAGGTGGAGGTGGAGGAGGAAGAAGAAGAAGAAGAGGAGGAGGAAGGAGAAGGTGGAGGTGGAGGAGGAGAAAAGGAGGTGGAGGTGGAGGAGGAAGAAGAAGATGAGGAGGAGGCGAAAAGGAGGAGGAGGAAGAGGAGGAGGTGATGTTTATTTCTATAAATGTTTAAAGGAGGATTTGCGGCGCGGTCTCCCGCTGAGACGAGGATCAGGCCGACAGAGAAAATAAATGATTTTGTTTCTGCGGTTTTATCTTTAAGCCGCTCCTGATATTTGAATTGTAATCAGGTATTTTAGCTCAGCGCCGCCGCCGCCGTTGAACGCTCGCCATCTGTTATTGGACGACGGTGTGACAGATGAGGTGGGGGGGGCAGTTATCCGAGAGAAATCCGTCGACTTTACTTCTTCAATCTCTAAATCTCGACATCGTGATGTAAGTCCACAGACAGGAAGCTCAGAGCAAACAGCGAATATCAGCAGATCCGTCCAATCAGAGCACAGGACGCTCTCAGACGCCACGATTCGCTCTCGACACGAGGACAGAAAAGAATTCAGGAGAAAATCTGAAAAACAAAAACAGAATCATCATCAGTACGGAAGCTGCTGATGGCCATTTGAATAAACAGGTTACAGATGAATAATCCCAGTATAAATAAGAAAACCAGTTTGAGACCCGGCTCCGCCCAGTCCATCACATGATCCCCAAACCGGGGCGTTGGGGGACAAAAACGGTTAACTGATCTGACATATTTTATTTATCATGAATAATTTATTTGAAATCTTTTATCTTATTTTTTTACTTATTTTTAAAAAACTTATTCTTCTTTTATTCATTTCACAGAATTGAACTTGTTTTAAATCAACGTTACTTTTTAGAATTAATTTAATTTTACACAATCAAACTCATTTCAGATAAATTCAACTTATTTTAGATAATGTGATTTAATTTTCACTACAGTTTAAGATTTTTTAAATAATTTATTTATTAAAGGAAATTTAAATCTTTTTAAGTTAAAAGTCTGCGAGCCGTGGAACAATCACAAAAAAAAACTGCTGAAATAAAGAAATTAAAATGTTAACGGTGATTTTTCGTTACATTCATATTTTCCATAAATAAAAAAATAAACATATTTCAGTAATTAAGTCGTTTTATTTTGAAGGAACGTTTTAATTTTAGTGTCGATGACGTTTGAAGTTTAACTTTCTGATCCTTTATTTTCTGTTTTTTATGTAAACGTTTTTCGTCAGTTCTCTTTAAATTCTCGGAGTGTCGGAGCGCCGCTCGTCTTCACGTTTTTAACTCGACCGTGAGTGACGGCGTGTTGGAGCTGAAGCGCCGTACGCTCGCTCTGATCCTCCTCTCGTGTTTTCGCGGCTCGTTTGTGTCCGTCGCTCCATCGCTCTCTCAGACAGCGGCTCATCTGTACTGGCCTGCATGGGGGGACCGGTTTGACCTCTGACCCCGGCCTGTCTGATGAGGACTCTTGTTTCCGTTGACGATGGCGAGAGAGAATCCCGCGGCGAACAAGCCCCGCCGGCTGACTCACCACGAATCCTTTTCAGCTGCGTCCGCCGCTCGAGTGCCCTTCAACGGATTCACCGCTCGCCGCTTCACGAGTGAGCAGGAGCCACGGAGAGACGCGGCGAGAGGTGGCGAGGGTCCGAGGGCGCCGGGATAAAAACGACCCACAGAGCGCGGGTCAAAAATCTGAGGTCATGATGACATGAGTGTCTCAACCAGAACCAGAACCAGGACTTAAGGGTCGAAATAACAAAATCAGCAGCAACAGATCAGAGAGAGAGAGAGAGAGAGAGTGTGTGTCTCTGTGTGTGTGTGTGTGTGTGTGTGTGTGTGTGTGTGTGTGTGTGTGTGTGTGTGTCTGTGTGTGTGTGTGTCTGTGTGTGTGTCTGTGTGTGTGTGTGTGTGTGTGTGTCTGTGTGTGTGTGTCTGTGTGTGTGTGTGTCTGTGTGTGTGTCTGTGTGTGTGTGTGTGTGTGTGTGTGTGTGTGTGTGTGTGTGTGTGTGTGTGTGTGTGTGTGTGTGTGTGTGTGTGTGTGTGTGTGTCTGTGTGTCTGTGTGTGTCTGTGTGTGTGTGTGTGTGTGTGTGTGTGTGTGTGTGTGTGTGTGTGTGTGTGTGTGTGTGTGTGTGTGAAGTTTCGCCTCGCCACCTTTCACAATTCATTACCACAAATTAGGGTTCAATAAAATTGCTATTCAGAGATAATTAGGAGCAGAGATGGTGGCGCTAGGGGTCACAGGGGGGAGGAGGGTGTGTGTGTGTGTGTGTGAGTGTGTGTGAGTGTGTGTGAGTGTGTGAGTGTGTGTGTGTGTGTGTGTGTGTGTGTGTGGGTGTGTGTGTGTGTGTGTGTACATGTCACATTGACCCCAAACTAACTAACTGAGCGGCTGCAGCTGGACGAGTGAAGAGAGAGATGATCTGAGATCCACAGATCTTTTTGCCGCCGCCGCCGCCTTCTTCGCTCCCTTCAGATGAGGAGGAGGAGGACGGGGCGGCGGCGAGGACCTCATGAACGACCTCCTCAGCCGTAAGATCGTCAACATTTACGAGAGATGTTATTGATGCTTTCTGGAGACGTGAGGAACGTGCGTCCTCTGGAGTCTTTCTTTTACGATGTTTTGAAAAATAACGTTAAATCCCTCCTCCTGTGTCCGGGTCAGCGCCGACCCGTTTTTAAATTTTAAAAGCTTAAAAAAAAATCACTTAAATGAGCTTTTTTGTTTTAAGACTCTTCGACTTTGTCAGGAACCTCGATTTCAACAAAATAAAGAGTTAAATTGACGAAATGATGAAAAGTTCTTAATAGAATTACGACGTGTCTAGACAAGTTCAGTATAGATGTCACAGTATAGATGTGTGAGTCAGAGGAACAAGGTGATCGAGAGATGAGAACCAAACTGAAGGAGAGTCAGAACCGACCCGTTAACATGGAGGACGGTCAAACTTCGAGGTGAACCTCCTCGTGTTTCATTTTTCAGTTTAGTCTCTGAAGCAGCTGAAGTGGTTTCGTTAGTTCGTCTTTGACTCTTTTCACCGCATCCTGAACGGCTACAAAAACGTCGTATCTGACGATCATAGCTGATCGGAACCATTCAAGTTCATGTCAAGGCCGAGTTTCCGATAGTAGAATAGATTTTAGCTCTTGTCCGGTCTACCTCCGTTTTAAGCGCCCGTTATTCCTCCAGAGTCTCCGGTATTTACGTTGTTTTCTTGCTTGTGTCGGCAGTCGTGGCCAAAGGAGGATTCAGACAATTTTCCGAACTTTCTGGTTGGTTTCTACTGTCCGATATTGTAGCACGCTAACTTTGTTTGGGCTCGTAAAAGTTATTCTAGGACTAACACTAACCCCCGACCTCCACCTTCATCCTGATCGTCTCCTAAAAGGTCGTATCCTCCGATCGTAGCTGATCGTAAACATTCAAGTTAACGTGTCAATTTACACCGACTTCTTTCCGTTCCTCAGCTGATCACAAGAGTTCTAAAGTTCTAAATTATTTTCTTCTCCCTTTTTTCTGTTCTAAATTTTTTCTTAATTAGAACATTTATTTAAGGTCTTAAGGGATCAATAAAGGAATATTCTATTCTATTCTATTTTTTCTGGACGCCGGAGCATGGCGGATAAATTCAGCACAGATTAACCCGTGCTGGAAAGGAAGTCGGGCACAGACTTCAAAATAAAACATCCTGCTTCTTTTCAAAATAAAACATCCGTGTTTCAGGAGGATCGTATTTCACACCATGCAAACGGGCGGAGACGAACAAGTGAAAGGTTTTTAGACGTCATTTCACCCCGATGACACCATGGATGAGGAGATGCTGATTCTAGAAGTCTAGAAGTAGATTTCCTCCTCTGGAAGGACACAATCTACTGCTTATATGTCTATGTGTCTGTCTTTAGAGAGACAACTCGTTATCGCGCGATTGAACGTGAATCTGCGGGTTCTTGTGAGTTCTCGTGATTCCCGCTGTCTGTAATCCTCCCCAACTGTGAACTCTCCACTCGGCCAACTACCTTTAACAGTCGTACTGCTGCTTTAAGAACGTAATGTCGTCACGACGTCGCTGAGTGGCGCCACACCTGTTGGGAAGACGAAGAGGAGTGGGCGCCATTATTGAGTTGTCGTTATTTATTTATATCAAACGAAGTTTGTTATTTTAACGGGTTATTCGCCGTTTTTAGAGCTAAAATCCGCTTTATTTCGAGCATCGGCGAGTTCCGGAAGCTCCTGCCGCCGTTTACTGCGGACATCCCGGCGGAGACGGCGACGTTTCCTGGTCGGCGGTTGTCGGACGGCTCCCTCCCGTCGGGCGGCCCGGTGCGGCCCTCCGGATCTCCGAGAGTCCCCCTTCTCCTCCTCGGTCTGCTGCCTGTCAGACTACAGCCGGTCACTTCATCTCCACGGACTCTTCGGTCAACGCGACGGTTAGAAACGGTAAAGAGAAACATTTTAAAGTGAAAATAAAGAGAGAAGACCGAGGATTGATGTGATTAACTGTGATTAACACTATAACTGTGTGAAAACTACCATAGAGACTGTGAATGAAGGAGCTCCTCTGAGAAAAAAACACTCACTGTTTAGTTAAAACACACACCTGATAGAGTTCTCATTCATAGAAGTACAATTTTATTTCTGTCATTACATAGAGAGGGTTTTCATCCATGTTTTTCCTGTTAAGGAGTATTATCAGTATTCTGATAAGGAAGACTATTTTTTATGGTGTATAAACAAAAACACAAAAACATTTAATATCAGTCGATAGATAAAAGTTATTGATAATATTTGGGAATATCAGAATATCGTTGTGTTTTGTTGCGCCTGTGTAGTCAACATTTTATAATCTTTGTGCAGTCTGCTCATTCTTAATGCTGACTCATCGTATTTAAAGCTGACTCACTGCATTAAAGCTGACTCATCGTATTTAACGTTGACTCACTGTATTTAAAGCTGACTCACTTATTTAAAGCTGACTTATTTAAAGCTGACTCACTGTATTAAAGCTGACTCACTGTGTTAAAGCTGACTTATTTAAAGCTGACTCACTGTATTTAAAGCTGACTCACTGTGTTAAAGCTGACTTATTTAAAGCTGACTCACTGTATTAAAGCTGACTCACTGTATTAAAGCTGACTCACTGTATTAAAGCTGACTCATCGTATTTAACGTTGACTCACTGTATTTAACGTTGACTCACTGTATTAAAGCTGACTCACTGTATTAAAGCTGACTCATCGTATTTAACGCTGACTCACTGTATTTAAAGCTGACTCACTTATTTAAAGCTGACTCATCGTATTTAACGTTGACTCACTGTATTTAACGTTGACTCACTGTATTAAAGCTGACTCACTGTATTAAAGCTGACTCATCGTATTTAAAGCTGACTCACTGTATTTAAAGCTGACTCACTGTATTAAAGCTGACTCACTGTGTTAAAGCTGACTCACTGTGTTAAAGCTGACTTATTTAAAGCTGACTCACTGTATTAAAGCTGACTCATCGTATTTAACGCTGACTCACTGTATTTAAAGCTGACTCATGTTTATTTTTGTACTTCATCAGATTTTCGGAGAACAGACTTTGAGAGTTCCTGAGGATCACAGAGTCACAGACCGTCACACAGGTGATGTTAGACGATGATTAAACTGACAACAATAAATATGCTGAAAAGACTCCTAATTATCCTTTTATAGTATAATTAGTCTCAGTATTTCACAGTGTCAGTATTTATAGTATAAGTATGTCTCAGTGTCAGTATTTTACAGTGTCAGTATTAGGGATGGACCGAATGGGAAAATCTTGGCCGAATAACCGAATAGCCGAATATGATTCATAAATTTGTATATAAATTATGAATTTTTATCACCAAGCAATTTTTGTACAATTGCTGTCATTGCCGTACATTTGTTTTAAAGCTACCTGATTATGGCAAAACCTGGCAAACTTAAATATTAATCACTTTATGTTTGAACCATGAAACATTTATTCAGCTTCAGCACATGACATAATGCTATAACAATAACATTCAATAAAATAAAATTAAGTAAATAACATCTTTGCAATAACAATACAAAAAAGTGCAATTTTCCCTGTAGGATAGCCTAAAGTAAATAAAATAAAATGCACATATGCAAAATAAATAAAATAAATGCAGGTACTTGCATGCATATACATGATTGTGCAACAGTAAACACAAATGCAGGCCTGAGGACTTCAACAATAAATGCACTTACATGCATGCACATACGATTGTGCAAACTTTTGTGCAGTGAGTTTCTTAAACTCGTCATGTTTGTCCTTAGGTTTAGCGCTCAAGTGGTTGATTAGCCCCGATGTACTGAAAGTTTTTGCCGTCACACCACCTCGAGACACTTCAGCAGAACAGAGTTTACAAACTGCCATCCGACCATCTTTCTCTGATATGTCGAAATATTTCCAAACCGCAGACATGTCGGTTGAACGGCTTCGAGCCAAGACAGCTGCACGTATCGTGTGCGTCGTATCAGCATGCCGGCTTGCCTCTTGTCGCGTTCCGATTACGTCATCAACATGCTACTAAAACAGGGAAAACAGCGCCGTCTGCGTTTTCCGTTTTTGAGAGTTCATACCAGACCCATGTTTTACACACTATTCGGTGATTTTTTTTTCGGCTATAACATCTATTCGGCCGAAAACCGAAAATTCGGACCCATCCCTAGTCAGTATTTATAGTTTAAGTATGTCTCAGTCTCAGTATTTATAGTATTAGTATGTTTCTGTTGTAGTATTTTATAGTATAAATATGTATCAGTAACAGTATTTTACAGTGTCAGTATTTATAGTTTAAGTATGTCTCAGTCTCAGTATTTGTCAGTATTTCTAAGGTGTCGTATTTCCTCCTTTTTCTTCTCATCTGTTGAAAGAAAGAGGTCCCTTCCTCACTGCTAGAATAATGTGCATAAATGTATATAGAAGTTATCATTATTCCTCATATTCTTATCTAAGAGTTTATACTACAAGTATAAACTGCTTTGACCTCTTTTTATACATTATATAAGAGTATTTTTATCATATAAGAGTGTTTCCTAACTTCTCTCTCAAATAGATTTACTACACAGACATCAATGTTTCTTTCAGTTTTCTGTGACCGTGTTTTTTCCTATCAGCAGGTGGGGGTGTGGGGGTGTGGGGGTGTGGGGGTGACGTATCCTCTGAGGATGAATCGTGGGAAGGTTCTGGGGAGGATACACGCTTATCAGAAGGAGCTCGTTAGATGCCGCCTTGACCTTCACATATTCACAAATTGTTCATTATTATGTTCTATGAAATGCTTACTTTGCAGCACATTTTCCCCCACCCTTTAGAAACATTGTGTAACCGGGGACAACCCTAAATAAAAGAGGCCGGACAGAGAAAGAACCCTTAGAGTGGTATTGAGATAGTTAAAAAAAGATCTCTGTCCATTCTCCTTTTTTATATGTTTTCATTTATTTGGGCAGGTTTTAGACCCAACACTCACCCAACAGAGCACCACAGACTCTCTGATCATCAGTTCTGCTCTTTAGAGGTATTAAATCCAGCTGAGGGGGGACAGGGGGCCTCCAGGGACCAGCAGCAGTCTGTAAATACTCCTCTGACTGGGACATAAAGAGCGTCCGTATGTGACATTATTCATACATTTAATGTTAACAATCGTGCTGCGTATATTTAGGCTGTCTTTACTCACTGGGTCTGTCAGAGAGGGTGTGGATGCACTCTGGAGCTAAATTTAACACCTGCTAAGGTCAAAGGTCGTCCGATATGCCATCAGAACTGGGCTTTGTTACTCTGTATGTCCTTCAGGTGAAGAATCTCATGTTCAGGTTCATAATCTCAGGATGTTAAAAAGAGGGTACGAGCGAGAGCCAACCTGAGGAAACTCTCACTGCGAACAATAAAGATTTACTGAATTCTTTATTTAGAGTTATGTACAAACAAGTAAACTAAAAACAGGTCGTTTCGAACTTTATCCAAGCTAAAGGTCTGGAATTAAACTCAACATAAAAGTGATTTTTGTTCAAAAAACTGTTATTCATTAAAAAGAAACTAGGTGGAATAGATTTATTACTGTCATAATTTATTAATTTTAAATCATTGCAAATAAAAAAAAAAGACATTTATGTTCAAAATTTATTTTACCTTTTTTTTAAACAAAAAACTCGATCAAAATTAAATTCTTCAGTGAAGCCGATCAAAGTTTCAGCAAACGAACCGAAGTGAAGGAGAGAGAGTCCAAACATGAGGGCAGAATGAAAATTATATTAATAATAAAAATGATAATAATAATAAAAATATGAATAATAATGATAATAATAATAAAAATGCACATTTTAGCTGGGCCTGACCTGTCTGCCAGGTTTCATGAGTTTTTGAGTCCATCTAGAAGGTTTTTAAGTTAAAAACTTAAAAAAAAAAAAAATAAATAATAATAATAATAAATAATAATTTCAGTAATTTCAAAAAGGCTCTTGCTTACTGCTTGCATTGTTGGCTCAGGCCTTAATAATAATAATACTGATAATTAAAATTAAAATAATGATAAAGAGATTAAATTAAAAGATTTTAAGTTCTGATTTTAGTTTCCTAAAAAAAAGGAAAACATCAAATAAAAGGAAGAAAAAGCAAATCTGTTTATTTCTTTATTGGAGCAGATTAGAGACTGTCGTGTGTGTGAGTGTGTGTCTGTGTGTGTGTGTGTGTGTCTGTATGTGTGTGTGTGTGTGTGTGTGTCTGTATGTGAGTGTGTGTGTGCAAAAGTTAAAAACTCTATATTTTACAGAAAGTGTGAATAAAATTAAATCCGTCAAAACAGGAAAACAACAACTTAGAGAAATAGATTTAAATAAAACAACAAACTATTCAAAAAGGTGAGAAAAAATAAGAAAATGTTGATTTTCAGTCAAATAAGATGAAGTAAAATAATAATTGAGATTAAGTGAAAATAAGACGTGATGAGATTGAATCTGATCGACTTTATTGAATTTAGGAGAAATCTGTTTTTAAGGATTAAAGGTGATCAGATACTGATAATAAAGTTATTTAAGTTCATAAAAGACTTTATTTTATAGTTTTAATAAACTCTGATCGTGCAGCAGGTTCCGTCCTTTAATCTAGAAGAATATTTCGTCTCTTTTACAGAAATACTTTGACACAGTTGCTGATATTTCCACATTTTTTCTCTCAGATTTAGTTATGAAATGTAAATTTCTGTGGATTGAATTTGACTCTTAAATTCGTGGAGAATTCTTTTCCAAATAAGAAACTTTGTGTTTTAAGAGCCGAAGAACTACAGACAGATTCATACGCTGCAGAAAATAGTCCTTTATAATCGGGTTGGGCGGTATTAAGGTACGAAGGTTTATAGCGGCGTGTCTTTCAAAAACAGCGGTGTCATTTTTAAGACCGTCATGGCGCCGGTGAAATGTTTTGTTTTGTACGTTTTGTTTTTACCGTAACTCCGTCAAAGTTTGTCTGATCAGAAAAATTCAACGGTGTTTGAAAGCTGAGAGTTGTGAGCGTGCGCCTCTATATGATTCACTACGGTAGTGGTAACCACGTGAGGTAGGCCGCCATCGCAAAACACAGGAGTGCTACACAGCGTCTCAGTACCGTAACGCCGTAACTTTGACAGGGGTGAGGGAGGAGAGAAGAGACGGATCAGAATAGTGTTTTTATTATTTTATTAGAAATATAGTCGTAAATATTAGTAAACAGTTTTATAAAAAGGTGACCATGAGAGATGGAAACACTTCTAACTTCAGGACGCATCTCCGAATCAACCATCCTGTCGCTGCTGCGAGGAACGCCGAGGAACGACGACTACGTCCGCCGCCACTTATACACAGCCGCCAATAATGGGGGCCTTCGGGAAGCAACAAAGTCCAAAAGGGAGCGTGAAAAAAACCTGAACTGATGCAGAAATACGAAGGAAAAGAAGCGATCTGCACAGAAACGGTTCTGTTGATTTAATTCTTTGACTTTTTAATCAGTTTCTAATAAAAGTCGTAAATATCGTTCACATTATTTTGTTTCTGTTTTATTATTCATGTTTGCTTTTCAGTTTCTGGTTTTGCGACGCCGTCTGAGCCTTGAGTCATCATTTTTAATCGTCATGGTAACACCGTACACCACTGTCAAACGTGGAGACGGTATGACGATATCAAGATTTAGATACCGCCGAATCCTCAACTCAATAAACGCACAACTTCAAAAACCAGGCTAAAAAGAGGAGTGTGAAGGTTTGAGAGACGTTATATTTGGATTCATACGCTGCAGAAAATAGTCCTTTCTCTCACTTTTACTTTCTCGCTGATCGTCAGGAATAATCGGAAACCTTTGGCGAAGAGTGACCCCAGCAACAAAATTCGATTTTACTCGACTCGACAGGAAAAACCACTCCGACACGTAAAACAAACTCCTGTTCTGGATCAAGACTCTGACGCTGTGGAGCAGCCGGGCGAAGTGCACTCCTCGGTTAGAGCACTCCAGCTGCACTCTGGGCGAGAGAGAGGGTTGAAGGACGGCGTGAGTGACATGGCGGCGGCGGCGTGAGGAGTGTTGAGGAGAGGGGAAGTGACAGGAGACAGTTGCTGCTCACTGCGTCAGGCTGGCGGTGTCACACCTGGCAGCTGTCAATCACCGCACTCCCGAAACACCTCGCTCCCTGATATCGCCGGCGCCGCTGCCAAACATGCCTGGAGTGGTGTCATCCATCCACACATGAGCACTGGCTCACTGCGACCGCACTCATCCTGTCACTGCAAGTCAGAGGCAGGAGGGGGGAGAAAAAAGGGGGAGAGGGAGGGAAGCATCCGTCTATTTACATATGGAAAGGTCACAAATAGCCTGCAGGCGCCGTGCTAATTAGAGAGAAACTCCAAAGATAAATTGAAAGACAAAAACGGAGAGAGAGTTATCTAACTGAAGTGGATAAAGTGTGGAGAAGGTGAATGAAAGGAGACAGGAAGTGGGTGAACCCTACAAAATAAAGCGTTCAACTTTAGCTGTGAAAGGAGAACGTTTTCGTTTGGTTGAAGCCGCTGAAGCTGAAATCGTAAAACGCCGTCTCCGACAGAGAAAGGAAACTCTCCGTGTTTCTCTAACCGTGTCACTTTATCCCGGTTAGCGCAGGTCTGCGCGGGCGGACACTGACCATATGACGGTGTTCAGATGACCGGCCGCGTCTGATCTCCCTCAGCCGGATAAGCGAATCAACCTTTATAATTCGTAGTGACAAGCTGACAGGCAAAATGAGTGTAAAATTTTATACTTACATGAATTTTTGTGTCAGATCCCCGTCTGTGCGCTTGTTTTTCTGCCTCGCCGTAGCCGTGGGCTCCTTTCTCCGCGGGCGCTCCGTGGACTTTGTTTCCAGGCCTTCGGACACATCGCCCTTCGCCCTGGTGAATTTGCTGATTAATTTTGGATGCTCCCCTTAATTAACACCCCAAAGGAAAGTGTAGATTTCCGAGCGCGCCTTTGCTGCGGCGCAAACAAAAATGAGAGAGTCTGAAGAAGGATGACCCCGGGGAGACAGGCGTGCCCATGTCCGAAATGACATTACAGGAGCGATGTGAAGGCCTTGGACCTGGACACGGGCGATGCCTCAGGAGCTCCCAGGCCTTTTAATCAGTGGCTGGAAACGAGCTCCCTATTAGTCTCATTTCATTTACTTTAGCGTCGCTACAGAAGCGGGCCTCACATGACGCCACCCGACGCTTGAAACACGCTGCTCTTGTGCCAGTGCTGGTGCCGCCTCCGGCCCGCGGTCACTAATTGGTGCCACTCTCTTACTTCCAGTGAAATTGGCAGATGACGGACAGGGGGCGAAATAAAAATTTGATTTCCTTCTCCCTCTTTTCAACATCAGAGTGGATTTCGCTAATTGGGTTGAACGGCGCCCATCTCGCCCCGTGACAGCCACGCGGGATGCATGAGAAGCTGCAGGCGGCTTGGAGAGCTCTCACCCCGCCGCCGTGCCAGCTCGGAAGACACGCCGGCAGGAGGGGGGCAAGGTCGCGAAACACATGCGGAGAGACAAAAGAGGTGGAGATTGGCGCTCACTTCTGGAAGACCTTGAACAAACAAACTTTGTCGTTTCGCTGAAGGCGAGAGGAAACACACATCCGCCGAGGTCAAAGTCCTCTGAGACTTCCTCGCCGTCGTCTGTACCTCGCCGTTAATCTGGAATTCAGGGACGCTCCGATCAGGAGTTTGGGTTCTCATCACCGATCCGATTTGACTGACTTCAGTATCTGCTGATATCACGGCGTCAAAAACAGCGATGGAAGCGTTCCATTTACTGTGCAACACGTTTTAAAATAGGAGATGAGTCTTATATAAGAAATAAGTTTTATGAATTGACAACAATCTTTTTTAAATATAGTAATAAAATATATAATAACTGTTTTAGAGAGACAACAACAAGTTTACATCGAGCGTAGAATCATAAATTAGATAAGAGACTTTTCATGACATTTCCCTCCTGAACGAGGAGTTTAAACAATAATAAACTGAACTGTCAGAAACAAAATATAAAATACACTTAAAAGTCATTAAAAGTGTCTAAATTTGAGAATCACCCATGACTTCGCCGCACACACGCCAGACTGGACAGAGTCAAATAGAAAGACGTGTTTCTGCCTTTTTCTTTCCCCACGACACACTCTGTTTGGTTTTCCACTTCTTTGTAAGTGAAGTGTGTCGTGAAATCATTTCTACTTTTTCTCCCCGACAACCCGGCCATGACCCCAACTCACCCAAAAAACGTCTAAACGTCGCAGAGGAAACAGGAAACAACAACAACACGACTCTACGATTCCGTTTCGTCTGGTTTTAGTCAGCGAAAGTGAAAGGACATTTTAGCAGAGTTTTTATTTTGTGAAGCACATTTAGTCGTGTTTTTATTCCTCAACAATATTGGATTATATATTTAGATAGAGTTATCGTCACAAGACCACCATTCATGTTTCGTCTCGTACGTTTCGATGAAGGTTCGTTGATGATGACATCAACACTTGACCCGGACAGTAATTTGGACCTTTCTCAGCTCTTGTCCTTCCAGGTTTTTTCAGAGTCTTCATAGGAAATCAGACCGTAGTCGAGGAAAATAAAAGCAGCAGCGATTTCGCCCACAAAGGGAATAAAAACCCTGATAGTTACATAACGGCGGACTAACACAGCGTCCCGTTAGGACCATTAAAAGCACACCTGATCCGCCTGCTGCCTCCAGTAAAACAGACATGGATGTTTGAACAGGTCGTCTCAAACTCCCCGTCGGACAATTGTCCACTTTGTGTTCGCGGAGGTTCAGGAGAGCGAAGGAAAAAAAGCCGAGTTCCCGTCACAAAAGGACAAGAAGTGCAGGTGTAATTGGGATATTTGGGGGTGTCGTGTTTCAGGGCCCGTCAGGGTGGCGGTGAAATGAAGCCGGTAAGACTAGAGCGTTTGGTCGGGCTGCCCTTCTTCTTTTTTCTCTTTCCTCTCCTCACATCCATCCTACTCTCTCGTTCTCTCTTGTCTGTTTCCTAACCAGGCCATGACACCACAGCCCCCCCCTCCCTAGTGTGATAGCAGCTCGATCAGGCGGGTATCAGTAACAAATGAGATCAATTAACGTGTCCGAGAGGGGCATCTACCCCAGAGTCCGGTTGCACTAAGCGATCTCCTCATCTTTTGTTTCCCTCGTCGGAGATTCCATTTGCAGCCTCATCACTTTCCCGCTCCAACAACAGAGACCATTGTTCTGGTCCGATCCTTAATGGAGACGGACCGAGAAAGCCCAGAGGATCTATCTCTACCATCAGGACCCGGACCAGGACAGGGGGCGACCCTCCTGAAATAAATCCTCAAACCCTTCGACGCCCAACCTTTCTCTCAACCTCAACAAGCCCCATTTGTCGCACATTTGTTTCTCCGAGGACGACTTTGGCGCTAACAAGGAGCTGATTGAACCCAATAATGGTTCTGTTTGAGGCGGGGAAACCAGGGAGCGGGCCAAAGATCGGGAATCACTCAGTTCGTCAACAGTCTCAGTTTAATCGGACTGACCTCATAATCCGACTTCTCTCCTCGTTTACATGCAGCTGAGAAAACTGAATTATTGACGTGAACGTGTCCTCCTCCCCAACACTAGGGGGCGATATGGGTCTTTTCAGCGGCGCTGTTTCCGACCCCATACAACCGTCAACAACAACAGCAGGTCGGTTAAATCTACTCGACACCCTCACTGTCAACGTCGGTGTTGAATAAGGGACCGTCAATAAATTACCGGTTGATGTTCTCAGAAAAGGCTGTTTTCCTTCAATAGTCATGTGACCAAAAGACCTAAAATTGATTTCCAATAATCGTACTAAGGTCGATCAATAAGACAAACATTATTGATCGTTTTTTTTCGTGCCCCTAAAGTTCTTTGTGCTCCTCGCTAAAATAGTTTCGTGTCAAACCCTGAAGTTATTCTGAACAAACGTGGAGCAGGATGAATCAGTCAGTCTCCCGATAACCGCCGTACTTTTGTCCGCCATCTTTTCTAGCGTCCATTTACACGTTACCGTCTTATTTCCAGTTGCAGATTTTTCCAATAACCAGCATCCTTTTTTAAATTGGCGGTCTCTTTCACGAATTTCATCATTCCTAATATCACGACGGCTCTGATGGAGAGATGGGATAACTGAGTGAAGGTCTGCAGAGAAAGGAGCAATTATCATGAGTCAGAGAGCGGCGTGATGGCGAGCATCGAACCCCCTGAGCGTTCGCTTAAATCTGCTTGATGAATGTGACGCGCCGCACTCATCCATCCCCTCCATCAGTCCGTCCGCAGCAGTCAGACGGGATTGTTTACTTGTAATCAACCTGGCCTGGTTGACAGCTCACCATTACCCCTGATAACAGGGTCTGCTGCTGCAATTTGGACCCGAAGAAGAAAAAAAACTATATTAAAAAAAACACACAGAGCAGCGGACGCCGCAGACAGACGCCGCCGCAGCCTCTGATGCCGTATTGATGGAAACCACAGCCCTGTTATCTTTGTGCGTAATTTGTTTTCAAGAACTGTGATTTACATTTCAGCGGGATTACACCTTTTAATGCTACACACGGGCGAGAGGTTCAAACAATGCATTTTTAAGTCCTCAAGTGGAGAGGATTACAATTACAATTAAAAATCAAAAGGCCTGCGTGTGTGTGTCCATCAAACGCCGGCCCATAACCCTTTGTGTACCCACCGCCAAATAACCGCGGCGAGTGGAGAGCTGGCAGACGCGAAAACGCTTTCCAGCCTAATTGTGGTGTATTACTGCGCCGGTTCATCGGGATATTATGCAATAAGTGTTTTTTCAGGCAAGGAGGCGGCTTCATAATGGCATGCTAATGTGAGTCCCTTGGCAGCGCGTTAAAGAAAATCCACGCATCGCCATTAAAACAACAGCGAGGGGGGTCAAAGTTCAACCATGTTGTTTGGGGGACCGCCTCTATGTAGTCCAACAAGTCCAGAGAGTCCAGCTGCTGAGGAGGACCGACCCCGATCGGATCAAACGGCAGAGTAAAGATCGATATAGATGCTGCTGCTGCTGGAGAGAGTGAATCTAAGTCTCCTCTTCATGTTTGTCAGCAGATCCGTCAGATTTGATCTTGTTCAGACATTTTGATTCAGTTTGACTCAGTCGGTGGGCTCAGTAGTGTTTTTGTAACCTGTACTCTTTATTTTCACTCTTTATTATTACACTACTTTTTCATTTTATTTTATTTTTTTTACTCTTAATTTTTACCTGATTTTTATTTATTCATATTTATTTTTACTCATTTTTCTGACTTAATTTTCACTCTTTATTTTTAGTTTAATTTCATTTATTTTTACTCTTTATTTTCATTATTTTATCTATTATTTATCTTTCTACTTCATTTGCACTGGAGTTACTGTAACAAACCGCAGTTTCCCCCTGAGAGTTATTATCGTGTTTCTGATTCACCGAAAACCTTAAAGTCGATTTCACGTAAAAATCCGATAACGTTGTTCGAGGTTTTTGTTCCTCGTCGTGTTTCTCTGCAGACTGTCGTGAATCAGGGTTCGTTTTCACTTCGATAGAGTCGTGGTCGCCATGACACACGAGTCTCTCCATTTCCACTCTCGTCTGTTTTTTTACTGAAAACATCTCGAGCGCCGACACCCCCTCCCCTCATTATTATGTGCATTATTATTTCTGTAATTCAGATCACAACATTTGACATAATTCTGTGTTTATTCAGTGAAACGATGTCAAACGCAGATTTCATGTTTTTGCTTCTTTAGAGGAAAAGTGTCTCATTGAAATGAGAATTAGACTTTAATGTCACATGATTTTATCGACATTTATAAACACATTAAAGTAGAGACCTGCTCTCCTAAACGCTTCCTTCCTTCCTTCCTTCCTTCCTTCCTCTCCGTTTATTTGTTTCTCCTCGAGACGACACCTGAAGACTCGCCCTCCATTGAGACAGAGAGAAAAAAAAACATCATTTGCTTTTTGCTGAATTAATTTACTCATTTGAAACCTGCAGCTCCTTGAGATAAAAACCATTTCTGCTATTCAGAGTCTCCGATCTTTCTCCGAATAATTTTCTGGACAAATTATCACACAGACGTCGTCGTCATTCAGGAGGTGAAAAGGAAAAAAAGAGAGAGAGAGAGAGAGAGCCTCTCAAACGCCGTTTTCAGCAAAACAAGGAGATTATAGGGGAGAGGGCGACCGGTTTTCCCTCATCAGGGGCCTTTGTACCAGGAGCAGCTTTAAAGTGGGACCCCTGAAAAAGACCCCCCCCCCTTTATCAGACGTTATTAAAATCAATAATTGGACTTAAAAATGATCGTAAATTTAAAACTTGTTGGCCGATTTTTTCAGGATAAAACAACAAAAACAAGTTTTCACTGTTTCCATTTGGGACACTCATATAATACGTACAGATGTTCGCTCCGTCTGTGTTTACGGCGAGCTGTTCAGGACGGCGGCGTATCGAGCATATGGACATTTGACAAAAGGTTACCCACCTGAATAAATTAGGGAGGAGGAGGAGGAGGAGGAGGAGGAGGAGGAGAGCGGGTCTCACAGAGTTCAACAGTGTCTGAATTTTGAACCTCGACTTCAAATAAGAGTCAGACACACACACATATATAAATATAAACATATATCTGTGTGTGTTTTAGTAAATAATTCTTTAAGAGTTTATAAAGAGATTAAAATTTAATATTTGGAGTAAAAAAGCTGAAATTAACTTCCTCTGGTGTTTCTTTTCATCAGTGAGTTTGTTGTCTTTGTTTTTCCTAAATTTCTTCATTATTTGCTGATAATAAAATAAATAAATAAATAAATAGTTCAACGTTTACACAGCAGCTTTAGATTTTATCACGTCTTAGAGTGACATCTAGTGGCCGTTTCTCTCATGAACAGTCCCACAGTTCATCCTCCTTCAGAACAAATATTTATAAAATATATTTATAATATAAAATACGTTCATTATAAACATTATCTGCATACAGATGATTTAAACCATTTTTTTACTGAATAAATGATTGAATTTCCCTGTAAATGTAGAGTGGTCTAACCACAACAAAAGGGGAATATTTAATATTTATTTCCATCTTTAGTGTTTGCAAGTGTACCTATAATTAATTTAAATATAATTATTAAAAACACATTTAGTTAGGATGTTTTTTCACAGTAAAGTTGGGTTCACTTTTGCAGTTTTCTAAATATTTAACAGATCATGAAGAAACTGTGTGTTTGTGCGTTTTCTCTAATATTTCACCAGTTTAAACAAACCAGTTACACCACCGGACCGTTAGACGGGTAACCCTAAAAAACTAACAAAGGTTTCTCAGCTGGGGCGTGTTTATTCGATCCTTAATCAGAAACTCAAAGTTTAAACTCTAGAAAGGTCATTTTCATTTTTGGATATCTCTTTTTAAAACTCTGTAAATGAGAAAATACTGTAACATCAAAAATCTCCATGTGACACTGACCGTCGGACATTATTTATACTTTATTTATCTCTTCTCTGTCGTCCAAATCTGCTCATTAGAATATGAGACGGTCCAAACATGAATCAGGCGCCAGTTTTCCTGGTCCAGACTGAAAACAAAGAGGAGTTATGATCATTTTAAGGACCTGAAAAACAAACAAAAACACGTTTTTCTGGGTTACAGTATTTTCTCCTTTACAGAGTGAGAAAAAGACCAAAGTCAACAAAATCGTGAAAATGACGCCTTTACGGCGGTCCAACTTTGGTAAACTTTGAGTTTGTTATTAAAGACGTCTGATACTGTAAAAACCAGCTGAGAAACTTTGTTAGGATTTTATTTATAAGTAAATCAGGAGTTCCTGCTCCTCTCCTCCTTCAGGGAGAAATCTAATAAAATTAAAGATCCACTTTAACACTCGTCATTTCATCTTCTGTGTTTCCTTTCCACAGTTTGTTTTTATTTTTTTATTCATATTAACTCTTAAACTCCTACAAACAGCTGCAGAGAACTTTACTCTAAATATTTACATCTTCACAAATTTACCACCGTATGTTTCTTAACCCTTCGAACTCCCAGGTATATTTCTCTGTTTTTGGTCCACCTATATTTTTTTATGTTTCACCTCGATCCTTTTAATCACAGCAGATTTAAAGACGTCTCTATTTTCAGGACAAACTCAGCTTCAGTTTATGGAGGAAAAAGGATGTAAAATAAATGAGACAGAAGATTCAGAACCAACAAAGTCGACCAAGAAACAAAAACAGAAACTTAATCCCAACAGAACTTTGTTAAAAAACCATAAATCTGCAGAGTCGTTCCTCACCTGAACGTCATCCTCTCAAGTCTATCAGGAGCAGAAAAAACAAACACAACAGAAACTGTCGACATATTTACACTCATTCTTATTTTAATATTTACACTTGTTTCTGCCGCTCCTTGACACTACCGTCAAGGGAACAATAGAAGAAGAATATGAGACCATGTAATTGGTCAAAAGTTTGACATCATGAAAACAGCTCCTGAAACCCGGAGAACATTAACGATCTTTTTTTATCATAATAATCTGATCAATAATCCTGTTTTCACCGTATTTCACTGCAGATTCACCATCGATCGTCTCTGATCGTAAACCTTGTGGCAGACGTAGAAACGTCTGTAAACCCTCGATTGATCGACTAAAAGGTAAACTTTTTAACTCTTCTGATCCCGTAGAGAAACACGGTAACGGTCCTGAGAAACTTTAAACTTTAGTCATGGTGTCACGTGGGATCGCTGCCGATCCAGCGGCGTTCGAAGTGTTAATCTTTCTCCCTAAACTCAAAAACCACCCGAAAACGCCACCGCCCAGTATCACGCCATGCGCCTTTTTCCTGTCTCCACCAACGCCTGTGATACGTTTAGTCTAATCTGCCCGTGTTCGCTCTTCCCTTCGTGGCCGTGTGGGCGGTTTAGATTGATTAACAATAACAGGAATAATTCAGCGTCTGTGTATCAAGACCGTCTACGTGAGAGACACGAGGAGGAAACCGCCACTTCCTACCTTTAATTGAGGCTTTGTTACGTAGATGGAGGCCGGCGAGGTTCAAAGGCGAGGAGCGGCTTCACAACGTTTGATTGGAGGACATTTGGCGCCTTTGATGTTCGCCGCTTTGATACAAGAGGTCATCGAGGTCATTCAAGAGGGTTCAGCGGACACAACGAGGCCGGGTCAGGACAGGAAGACGACCAACAACCTGACAACAACGGAGGGGAGCGCTCGAGTGGCACAGATCCATATTCATGAGGAGATCACAGAGAAACGGCGGCTGTGGAGGCGAGGAGGAGGTTTCCGTTAACCCTCCGTTTTTATCTCCCTCTCAGTCCCCTGACCCGTTCTCGGTCCACTTTGGTTCTGTTGTCCCAGATGATTTCAAAAGACCGATCCACGATCCGTTTCAGGGTTTTCTTCCTTGTCCCTTCAGTGCCGATCCTAAAAACAAAGTTTTTCAGACCTTTAAGCGAGTCTTCCGCCCTCGCCGCCACTTTAGTTTGAAACCCTGATGACCTGTATCGACCTGAGCGGAGCGATGGCGGTTAGCGGTAAAGGTGTAGAAAGACGGATGTTCCTGCTGATTCTCTTCCTTCTTGTCCTGATAAATTCCTCTTTGACAGAACTTTGTGTTTTAAACTCGTGACATCTGGTCGAACGCGCTAACGCCCCGTAACTCACCCCCTAACTCACCCCCTAACTCACCCCCTAACTCACCCTTCCAGCCTCTTTTCACGGCCGCTCCTTTTGTTCCGGAACATAAAGGGAGAGCAGGACAGAGACGCTCTGAGAAATACGCCGATCAATAAAGACCATCGAACACCGAGATAACGTCGGGAAATTTAGAGTCAGGTTCTTCAAGCGTCATCGACGGCGCTCCTGGTGAGAAAGGGTTCAAGCCGTAGGTCATCCTGCTAAAATAGGGCCGCTGTCACGTCAGGGCGCCGACACAAACGGGGCGTCAGAGTTTCATACAAACTTGTCTTTGGAAAAAAAGGAAAAACGGCGTTTTAAAGATTGTGGCGCTTAAATAACGACGATGAGCCTGAAGTTTGAAATCAGGAAAATCAGGTCTGGATGATAAATCAGGGACTTCGTCAACGACCTTCGACCACGAGACCGTTCAAACTCGGGGGTTTGTGTTCAGGCAGTAACCCCAAACTTTTACCGCGATCTTCACCGTCCGCTGATTCCTACTGTTCACGTTTGTGAGGCGAATTTCATGGCGGGTTACAGACAGCGGTACCGCTCACAAGAACTCACGAGAACCTGCAGATTCACGTCCAATCACACGATAACGAGACACATAGACATATAAGCAGTAGATTGTGTCCTTCCAGAGGAGGAAATCTACTTCTAGACTTCTAGAATCAGCATCTCCTCATCCATGGTGTCATCGGGGTGAAATGACGTCTAAAAACCTTTCACTTGTTCGTCTCCGCCCGTTTGCATGGTGTGAAATACGATCCTCCTGAAACACGGAGTGTTTTATTTTGAAAAGAAGCAGGATGTTTTATTTTGAAGTCTGTGCCCGACTTCCTTTCAGCTGAGGAGTATTAATCAGCAAACGTTATTAAAACATGATGTTTATAAAAATACGGACCCTGTGAGACTCAACGATATTTTTCAACTTCTCTCGTTAAAAAGAAAGAATTTAATTGTGAAACTTTTCCGACATTTTAGGCTGATCCTAAAAATCTCAAACACTAAATCTTTTTCCGAATTCGGCAAATGTCTCCAAAAGCTCCGACAGAGTGTTAGCGCCACATTAAGAAAGAAAAAAGATGAAAGACTTTGTAATTAAAGTCGTAATAAAATCATTATTTCTCCACGTCTTTATTTTCGTCAGTAATGACTGTTTTTTTCTTAACGTGGCGCTAAAACTCTGTCGTAAAAAGAAAGAAGTAAAATACTGTAAATATTTGAGAGGAAACAAATAAAGACGATAATTTGGAAAAAACATCCTAAATTTGTTCATTTTCAGATTTTTCAGGATGAAAAAACTGAAATTTCCTGTTTTTTTCTGAATGGTGGTTGAAGTCAGTCCAGCTGCTGCTTGTTTCTCCGTGTTTTTAATGAAGTTCTGCAGGTTAAAAAATCCTCTCAGATCAAGATAAAGTCAGATCTCAGTCTGCTGAGTGTGAAGGATATCAACATTATCGCCGCTCCGTTCGCTGTCACCATGATGAGCCGTGCCGCCGCCGAGTCTGTTGTTGCCTAATTCCCTCTAACTACAGCCCTGTGTAATCACACACCCCAATTAACCAGCTCGCCTCCCGGTTTCCTGCTTGTGCACGCCGCCGCCGCCGCCCCGTCTTCTCGCCACGCTGCGTAATTAGCTTTCATCTGAGGAAGAAAAGGAGCACCTCAGCAATTGTGCCGCCACTCTCTCCTTCTCCCATCTCTCCCCATTTCACCACCAGCAGCAGCAGCAGCAGCGCCACTCTGCTCCTCCTCGTATCATAATGGCCCCGCAATTTCAATCAGATGGATTTTTATCGCTGACACTGAAGAGAATTGGCCCTCATCCGAGACCCTTTCTAAGACCCCCCCAAACAACCGACCCGCCGCCTCGTTGAGAGACGGCGATCAAGGAGGAGAGTCCTTGTTGTGACGGGGAGGTCTTCATATTTCCAGAAGGATTTCGTTCCTTTTGTGGGTTTGTGCTCCGATAATGAAGAGTCAGGTCCCTCATCTTCATCATTTCACCACCGACTGAACACCGAACGAATTTACACCGAACACTAAAAAAAACAAACAAATTCAACCTTCAAATGTTAAAGAAGCATCTTTTTTTTATTGTATATACAAAAAGAAATCTTTAATATCAGTCAATAGTTATCGGTTATTGACGACGTTTGGTAATTTAACGATATCTCTGTGTTTTCTTACGTTTTTATCGTCAACATTAAACATTTTGTCCGATCTTTCTGACTGTTCTCCGCCTCCTCTTTCTGATTGGATGTGAGACAGACGCTGCTCCTTACCCCCCGACCTCCACCTTCATCCTGATCGTCTCCTAAAAGGTCGTATCCTCCGATCGTAGCTGATCGTAACCATTCAAGTTAACGTGTCGATTTACACCGACTTCTTTCCGTTCCTCTGCGGATCGCCGGACTCCTCAGCTGATCACAAGAGTTCTATTTTTTCTGGACGCCGGAGCATGGCGGATAAATTCAGCACAGATTAACCCGTGCTGGAAAGGAAGTCGGGCACAGACACAAAATAAAACATCCGGCTTCTTTTCAAAATAAAACATCCGGCTTCTTTTCAAAATAAAACACTCCGTGTTTCAGGAGGATCGTATTTCACACCATGCAAACGGGCGGAGACGAACAAGTGAAAGGTTTTTAGACGTCATTTCACCCCGATGACACCATGGATGAGGAGATGCTGATTCTAGAAGTCTAGAAGTAGATTTCCTCCTCTGGAAGGACACAATCTACTGCTGATATGTCTATGTGTCTGTCTTTAGAGAGACGACTCGTTATCGTGTGATTGAACGTGAATCTGCGGGTTCTTGAGAGTTCTTGTGATTACTGCTGTCTGTAATCCTCCATGACATTCGCCTCACAAACGGATCCGGTAGGAATTGGTGGACGGCGAAAATCGCCGCCGTTCTTGATGTGGTGAAAATTGAGGGTCAGTGCTGATTGGTTGTGAGGCAGACGCTGCTCCCCCGTGTCGTTCAGGAGCCCAAACAAAGTTAGCGTGCTACAATATCGGACAGTAGAAACCAACCAGAAAGTTCGGAAAATTGTCTGAATCCTCCTTTGGCCACGACTGCCGACACAAGCAAGAAAACGACGTAAATACCGGAGACTCTGGAGGAATAACGGGCGCTTAAAACGGAGGTAGACCGGACAAGAGCTGAAATCCACCACTGGAGACTCGACCTTCACGCAGGATTACCCGTGAAAATCAGGAGATCGTCAGTTTGAGGGAAAAAAATCTACTTCCTTTTTTTAAAAACATGACAGCTGAGATACTTCCCCTGATGCAGCAAAGTCCATCCGGCGCCGTTTTATATTCGTCATAACATCCAGAAATGTCACTTTTATGGATCAACTCTGTGCGTCTCTGTGAAACACGCCGTTTCTGTTTCCCCTGAACTTCCTGCTCAGAAAAGTAAATGTTCCTGAGGCGTCTGTGATGAAGCAGTTTTGTCGTATTTCATTAAGATGATGATTTTTGCGCCCACTCGCCATCTCACATGAGCGGCGCTGCTTTGGCGTTGGAGCGAAATATGGCTCCTTCATCAACAACAGAGACGCGAGTGTCCGTCCGAGCGTGAGCGTGAAGTTTGAGAGGAAGTGTTTCACAGTCATTTGTTATTTCAACACGATTTTCACTGAATAATGTTTCCATTTCTGGAGATAATGATGACGACAGGAAGTGATCAGGGCGGACATGGACAGATAGACTCGGGTTTGAATTTCCTCTTTATCATTAACTTCTTAACTGAATATAAACAAACAACAGCAGCCAGAGAAACACAGTCAGGAACACTTTCACTGGAGCCGTGTTTTCTCTTCCTCTCTTGTCGTATATTTTTATATTTTTATATTTATTATTTTATTTATATGTGTATTTGTTTCTATGTTTATTTCTATTTACACTCAGAGAGAAACGTCTGTCAGCAGGTCTGTCGGAGGGTTCGGGTTCTCGTGTAAACGAAGGTTTATCAAACTTGATCTCTGACATGTTTGGATCTTTCGTGGGTAAATTTATCTCCTCGTGTTTCCAGATGACGGATTTAAATCCTCATAAATTCACCTTTTGATGTCAGGATCCAGATTATATCTGGAGTGGGCGTGAGTCAAGATTAAAAACATTCCTGCTTTCATTTGATAATTCTGACCGTGGCGTTCACAGAAAAAGAGGATCTTTACGTATCAATATATTTATAGATACAATAGATATAAAGATAGATAAACATAAACATATATATATAAATATGTAGAACCTGTGTCTCTGTCTCATGGTCAGTTCGTTAAATCTCACAGTCCTGTTCGGTGTTGTCGTTTTTTTCGCCTGTTTTCAATTTTGATTGTTTTTTGTTTTTTTTACAGACTCTGAATAATAAAATATATTTTTTTTGCTTTTTTCTCCAACATTTGAGGTCCTTTTGTTAAGATTTAAAACAAGCAACAAAAACGGACAAACAGTATTTAAAGAAAAAATCAATGAAATGAAATAAAAACAAGTTTATATTTAAATTATTATAAAGTTTAAAATAAACTCCAGAAAGACGATAAAAACGTTAAAACAGCAGATTTAGAAAAGATAAAAAGGATTCTGATTATTTTCATTTATAAACTTTTTACACCTCGTCCTGTTTATCAGATTTTTACGTCGTTTCCTTTAGAGAAAAGGCCCAAGTGAAACCATCTTGAAATCGCCGCCGTGTTTGGCGTGAAAGCGATGGCGACTCTTCTTCTCTGAGGTCTGATCCTCTTAATGAATAAATCTGACGCCTTAAATCAGAAACAGAGGAGGATCACTGCAGCGCTGCACTCCTCACTCCTCCTCCGTCAGAGAAGGATTATCCCTGTAAAACACACGCCAACTCCCAGCATGCACCGGGGGAGATTGGCTGTCTTTTCTTTCCTCACTGCTCGTCTTTTCTACCTGACATCTTTTTTTTATCTCAACACAAACACCAGTTTTTGTTTTTTCCAGTTTTTCAGTTTTTCATTTATTTTGTTTTTTATTTTTTTATTTTTTCAGTTTTTCAGTTTTTCATTTATTTTGTTTTTAATTTTTTCAGTTTTTCAGTTTTTAATTTATTTTGTTTTTTATTTTTTCCAGTTTTTCACTTTTTCACTTTTTCCTCTCCTTTCGATGTTTTTGTACGAATCCACTCGGCAGACTAGAGAGCCGTATTTGCGGGTCTTAGAGCGCCGCCCACGCAGAGCGCCGCCCACGCAGAGCGCCGCCCACGCAGAGCGCAGAAAAACAAGATGGAAATGTTTGACTTTTGACAGACGCCTGATGTCTGAGTTCGTTCCTCATCAGGAGTCGGTTTTTAACTCCAAGAACTTTGATTCTACGGAAGTTTCAGCTGCAGATCTCAAACTTTTTAAAGATAAATGTTTTTTAACTTTTTTAACAAAGTTCTCGTTAACGTCGAGTTTTTTAAGAACGACTTTAACGATGATGATCCACTAATTAAACGTGTCGTAGACTGACGTGTTTACGTGAGCTTCAGTCTTTATCGGAATAAGGCGATAATTCGGTTTCTCACGGAAACAGACCGAATGACGACGATGTTTGGTTTTCTTCAGGGTCGCCGTCACTCAGATCAGCTGGTTTGATTCTTCACCCCTGATTGGCTCATCGATACGGAGGCCGAGAGCAGCCGCTGCTGCGAAAAAAAAAAACACAAACAGAGAAACTGTGAAGTACTGTGTGTAGTACTGTGTGTAGTACTGTGTGTAGAACTGTGTGTAGAACTGTGTGTAGAACTGTGTGTAGTACTGTGTGTAGAACTGTGTGTAGAACTGTGTGTAGTACTGTGTGTAAAACTGTGTGTATAACTGTGTGTATAACTGTGTGTATAACTGTGTGTATAACTGTGTGTAGTACTGTGTGTAGAACTGTGTGTAGTACTGTGTGTAATACTGTGTGTAGTACTGTGTGTAGTACTGTGTGTAGTACTGTGTGTAGTACTGTGTGTATAACTGTGTGTATAACTGTGTGTAGTACTGTGTGTAGAACTGTGTGTAGTATTGTGTGTAGTACTGTGTGTAGTACTGTGTGTAGTACTGTGTGTATAACTGTGTGTATAACTGTGTGTATAACTGTGTGTATAACTGTGTGTATAACTGTGTGTAGTACTGTGTGTAGAACTGTGTGTAGTACTGTGTGTAATACTGTGTGTAGTACTGTGTGTAGTACTGTGTGTAGTACTGTGTGTAGTACTGTGTGTATAACTGTGTGTAGAA